CTCTTCAGAATGTGACAGAATTTATATACTTTTCAACCAATTGTTTTAGATCATGGACCTCCAGCCCCTTTGTTTGCTGAAATCTTAAAAGATCAAAACCTCAAATTGAATTTGGTTTTATTCCATTTTTCTTTAGAGCTTTGATCTCCCCCTTGGAATTTATCAATAGTTTCATTCTTTTCCATTTTCTTTAGACTTTTAAAAACTAAGTGGTGACATCAGGAAAATGTCATCTGGGCCAGCTCACAAGCCTTCCTTTGAAGCAGCACATGTTCCCCGGGGCTATAGCAAAAGGCAAGCTAGCAGATACGCCAGGAAGTCTGTCGATGACTAACTCAAAGGAAAGAAAAGACACATTTGATGCATTCCTATTATAAAACAACAATTGAAATGAATGCATAGATTTATTCACCTTTAACATTTTCTTACGAGAAGACATCCAGATTTTCTTCTGCCATTGTAATGATCTGCTAAACTACATAAAATCCGGATTATATTGTGTTGATGTCAAAGCATACAAAAATGATATTTTAGGTATAAACAGATTTTTTAAAAATCTGAGAAGTGATCTGAAAAATTAGAACAAGTGATAGAGATGTACCATAGGCATCTAATAAGACTTACCCTTTGAAAAAGTCATCTTTAAAGTTTTACAAAGCATCCTGGATTTTAGAGAAACTTACTGAAACCACAATAATGGAGCATCCCAGGGGTCTGCAGTACTTAGGTAAAGCGAGAAACTACAAAGGTAATTCTTTCCAGTCTGTAACTCAGCATGCTACAACCGTTTGCTATATGGGTATCTTTGTAACTCACATGGGTAGAACATTGTAGTAGAATTTATTTGATAAAGTCACTACTTATGAATAAGATGTAAAGGAAGGAGAATGGGGGTGGAGAATATATTTTCAGTTTTTTGATAGCAGTGCTGCTGTTTTGGGAAACCATGAGCATCGTAGAGAATTTACCATTGTACAATAAATAGAAATATAATTGCTTCCATCTTCATTACATGGATTTTTATGTGCAGCTAAAAACGAATTGAAAAATGTAATGAAATTACACTAAACTTTTACTTGGAACACAGGCTTTTTTTTTTTTTTTTTCCAGCTAATTTAAGAATGTTTTTTGTTGAAAATTTCCTGATGAGAATTAAAGTAAAAATAAATCCTACTAACGTCTAACTAAAGACATACATTTAAAAGTTGGAAAAAAATTAGCAGTGCTGAGTAATAGGCAGTGGGTGAAATGTGTCCCACTGTAGAATGTTATTATATAATAACCTCATGCCCTTTATTGTGATGTAAATTGAGTTTGATGTCTGGCTAGAAACTGACAGCAATAGAACTTTGACAGAAATTTATCCATCCTTCTAGACGACGAAATTCCTAGTATATTTTTTTGTCCAAGTTATGTAATGTTCATATGTGAAGTTCATTTCAAATCTAAGATTTTAATTGGTTGTTGCTTTTATTGGATAGATTTATGTAAGCATAATTCTACTAAATTAGATACCACTCTTTAAGAATAGTAACGATATATTTTTCCACAGTAGAAAATATATTTTAAATCATTTTAACCCACTATAAGTATTTTGATGGTAGTTTTTAGAGACCTCTCATAAAGCATTTTTTAAAAAAAGCAGCAAGGTTGGGCAGTGTTGGAACATAGGGTAATAATTCATACCAATTATATTGCTAAACATAAAGTCTCAGGCTCCATAATATATCATAATTCATACCTATGGTTTGATAGCAATTAAAATACCATCATTAAATATATTGCAAACATACATAATTGTTGAAATCTTGCTTATGTGGAATAACATTCAGTGCTTTATTATCCAGAACAGTACCTCTGTTCATTTTCTTGACAATGTTGTAACCATTAGAGAACTGTTCTGAGAGTACCTTTACTACACACAGACTCAGACATTCTCTCCTATTATTAGGACTGTTCAGGCTGTTACTACTTTCATGGCTATTAATGCTTTTGAGTCTCTGCTGATTTTTCTATCATGTAAGTAGAACAGATACAATCACGTGGTCCTAGAGTAGTGATTAACAGAGACCTGAAATCTCTCTGCACTGTGGAGAAAACCAACAACTGAACACTAAGACCTTACTTAGGACTTAGGAGACTCTGTTCTAGAAAATATTCAAGGGATTTGGCTTCTAGCTCCAGAAGGTCGACACACATAAGATGAGACAAAGGGACTACTAGACAGATTATTCACCATTGATGAGGCTCATGGTACTTCCAGCAGGTGATGGTCAGATTTGGCTGATGACCATACAAACCCTAAACTGTGACCAGGTTAACAGAGTAGAGAGGGGTGTAGGCTGGACCCACTTGTGCTCAGATGCTTCCTTCATGGGAGCTTTCCCTGTAATAGCCTTCCATCACAGTTTCACACAACTATGTATCCCCAAAAAGGTCACTGAATTCGAAGTTTTTGAAGATATATTTTGATAAAATAAGTGGAAAATTTCTGTGTATCAAGTTAAAATGGCATGGACTTTGGAACTGTAAATATGACGGTTCATATTCTGATGGGCTACTTAAAGCTCTGAGCTTCCATTTCAGGATCAGTACACAGATGATAGTAATTACCATGGAGGTATGAGTTAGTGTTAGGATAATATGTGCAGAGCACCCAGAACAGTCACAGCAAGTGCTTAGTGCACATTTGAAACAAGTTCTCACCAGGTGCCATGCTTGAACAGTTCACTTCTCACTCTGGAATAAATAAATATCCTGTGTGTGTATTGGGGGGGAATCCAGTTCAAACTTTTAATTCAGCCAAGGTCATTAAGTGCTTACAATGTGCCAGGCATGGCCGAGGAAGCCATGTGTGCTGAGGAAAGTTGATTTCTTCTGTTTAGTGGCTGAGGTTAAGAGGTCAGAGGTCAGGGAGATAGGGGAGAAAGAGGCAGGAGTGGGGCCTGGTATCGGTCATGTTGCCAGTTAACCAGCATTAACTGTGTCTTCTTATTTTCTGTATCCTGATGCTTTGGCATCTGAGCCTTGCTGATCCTGGAGGAACTGCCCCTCCCAGGACTAGTCAAGTCCTAGGGATAGTGAACAACTCCAATCAACCCAGAGCCCACACCTCAACCACCCCCTTTATTGGTTTCTTCCACTCCAGGCCACTATCCCCCTGCCCAGGGCCAGGAACCAGATAAGCAGAGACAGCCCCTGCACCCCAATGTCCTCTGAAGTTATTCAAAGCTGCCAATTCTATGCCTGGATACCCTGCCTTGCCCATTCCTTCCCATGGAAACCACAAAAGAAGCTTCAGCCCACTGGTTCCCTCACTCTTTCTGCTTCATGACCCACCCAGGTGCTTCTCACGTGGCTTCCCCCTGGCCTGGCATGGGACTTGTGAGTTTAACAAACTATCTTTTCTTTTTTTTTTTTCCTTCTAGGAGGCTCCTGCCTCCTTCTTCTTTTTTTTTTTTTTGTGAGGAAGCTCAGCCCTGAGCTAACATCCATGCTAATCCTCTTTTTGCTGAGGAAGACCGGCTCTGAGCTAACATCTCTCCTTTTTTTTCCCCAAAGCCCCAGTAGATAGTTGCACGTCATAGTTGCACATCCTTCTAGTGGCTGTATGTGGGACGCGGCCTCAGCATGGCCGGAGAAGCGGTGCGTCGGTGCGTGCCCGGGATCCGAACCCGGGCCGCCAGTAGCGGAGCGCGTGCACTTAACTGCTAAGCCACAGGGCTGGTCCCACAAACTATCTTTTCAATAGCAGTCATCGCTTGATCTGTTGGCCTATTATTATTCCTAAATAATAAACATGTTATTCCTAAAAGTCACACATGCATACATGGTAATTATATCTGAATAACCAAAAAACCCTTATTTTAAAGCAAATTACCAGAGCCTAAAGCTTGCAAATTGCCGTGAAAAGAACATATGAAGGGAGGCTGGATGAATGAGATTGTTCACCCCTCTATTTATCTGACCAGTACAGAAGCATTCATGGAAAGCAACAACAAAAATAAATAAAACCACAGAAGAACATAGTTGTACCCTTTTATTGGCACAGTAATTTTTCAAAGGCTGGTATGAATAACAAATTCCAAGTAGCAAGATGCGATGGTCTGATGCCACAGCTCAGAACTTCCCAACAGCCAACAGAAGCACATCAATAAACAAGGCGGTTGCATTACAGGAGGGCTGAGGATATACAGCAGGTGAGCCATGCAGTGGAGCTCTGAGAGGACAGTCGTCTTGGAATGCAGCATTGCTGCTGGAACCAGTAAATCTGAGCGTGCTTATTTGTACTGTGTAGACCTTTGAATAGATATGACCCTTGCACACCACCCGCTATGAATTTGAAGTTGTACGTGTTTAAGTGAGTGCCACATAATTTCCTGTAACCTATGCTGAAGCCAGAGATGAGATTTAACTAAAGAGCTCACAATCCATGTATCCAGAAATACAGGGCATAGGAAGGAATTGCCTCCTAACCAATGAATGAAATATCAAACACGGGACTCAATCCACACGTTTGCAGGGTTGACACTGGCGAAGCTAAAACAGCAGCATAGACTTGAGAGCTTTAGGTACTTTAGGTTAAAAAAAAGAAGTATGCAGGGAAAAAATTGTAGAAACGATTTTTTTAAATCTGTATTTTGAAGAAAGGGAGCACCACCAATTGCGTAAAGTTATAAAATACAGTAATAAACATGTAAGTAATGACTGGGTTTGCAATTCCAATAAAACACACATCCCTGCAGAGACATGAAACATACAACCTGTAGAGTGTATCAGACTAAAATGACTGCAGTACTACAACAGACATGTGGTGGGACCATATAAAACCCACTGTACAGTGTGGATCCCTCCCTCCTCCACCAGTCTCTTTCCCTCTCTCGCCTCATCCCACAATTTTCCCAGCCTTTCTCTTGCTCCCCAGGGGTAGCATGGCCCTATAACCATGGAGCCTGAAAATCAGAGTGTATCCCCACAGAATGGGTAAGAAAGAGCACACACACACACACGGAATCTCATGTATTTAACTTCATTGTCCTGTGCTTGTTTGTGTAAATGTGTGGCGAGAGCACCCAGCCATATCAGAGGCAGCCTTCTGTCAATGCAGCCTGGAATCGCTAGACAGTCCTATTCTGCGAGTCTGCAGTCCGGGCCACATCAAATGGTGGTGTCCCAGAACTCAGAAGGCAGCCGGCTGCAGGAGGCCCCCTCAGGCTTCTTCAGAAGAGTCGGCTTCTTGCAAGGAGGTGGGGGAGGCGCCCTGGGCTCCGGGTGGTGCAGGATTTGCTGCCAGTCTTCTCTCTCCTCGCAGAGCTTCCGCCTCCAGTCCAGGAGCTCCTGCAGGGCTACACTTTCATTCTGCGAGAGCCTCAGCTGATGGATTACCTGCGGGAGGAAAGAGGGAAAAGAGCGGCACCAAATATTGTGAACAAGAGAGAAACATAATAGCAACACCTGGATGCCAAGGCGCTGGACCAGTGGAAAGAGAGAACACATGTTCGCTATAAAACCTCCCGGCTTTACTCCTCGGGAAATGGCAGCCACCTAGGTCAGCTGTGAACTGCTGAATTAAGATGATGAATGGAACAAAACACTCAGGATGGCTACACCAGTTAACATATGATATACCTCCAGGGAATACAAGAAAGAATCAGATGTCCGTTTGCCCTTTGCCCTCTGTTATTACAGATATTCTCATGACATCTTGCACTTTCTCTTCATTTATCACAATTGTAATTCTGCATGTAATAGATGCTTCTGGATTTCTCACTCCATTCTAGGATCACTCCTCCATCTACGCACAGTTACTAGTCAACGTCTCTTAAGGTAATGTGACCCCACTCTGACCACCATGCATTCACCCAAGGCTGGACCCCTACTCAGGAGGGCCCACTCACATTAGTGTTAGCAGAGGACCACAGTAACATCGAAACTGTCTCCAAGAGTTAGGTGTGGCAGGGACAGCCAGTGAAATTTCAAACAAGCTCAGTGGAGGCAGGGTAGCCACCGCACTGGGGTGTCAGTGCACGCTCGGTTTTGCAGCAGGATCTAAACTAGCAGCTGGTGTGCTCTCTCAGACCTTGAGCTGGCAGAGATGGGAACTTTAAGGGTCTTTGCAGGAGAGCATCAAAACGTGCAACTGGGGCCGGTCTCGGGGCCTAGTGGATAAGTTTGGCGCACTCCACTTTAGTGGTCTGTGTTTGGTTTCCGGGCGCAGACCTACACCACTCGTCAGCTGCCATGCTTTGGTGGTGACCCACATACAAAATAGAGGAAGATGGGCACAGATGTTAGCTCAGGGTGAATCTTCCTCAGCAAAAAAAGAAAAAGAAAACCATGCAACTGTTTCAGCTACTTCCTCTCCCTTTCTTAGGGTACCCAAAGACAGACACCCTGAAGACTGAGCTTGTCCCCCCACGGCAGCTGGGGCACTTCAGGACAAGCAGGTTGCATTGCTGTGGGCTCCCCCTTCTGCCAGCAGCCTGTATTCTGTAACAGCTGGACGTTGCAAAAACCAATTTTTCTGTCAATTCTAAAGTGAGTATGCTGGTTTAACAAAATGAGATTCTGGACATCAAAATGGGAATACCAGGGAGAATTCCGAGGAATCAAGATGGCTCATCCCACCCCCAAAGCACACACTGCTGTGTCCAGTGCCCCTTCCATCCTCTCCATCGAAACAAAGAGAATAAAATAAAGCAGGACAGAGCGGTTGGCTCTAATATGAGAAAAGTCACTTGAAGGCAGACAGGGTAGCCAGTGTTCCAGGAAAATTCTAAAACCGACACCCTCACCTGGACGCCCGAGCCTATTGTTTACTCCAGAAAGAAGATGTTAAAGCCTAGAATCAAGGAGATGGGCAGAAGGTTGAGACACTGTGTTAAAACACAGAAGCCGTGGAGGTCAAATCCATGTCCAGAGTGTATAAGTAGATTTCTGGAGCTGGTTATTAGCAAAAGAAGTTCTCCCAAATTGAGTTTATAGACAACCAGAAAAAAGCCCTCAGTGTGATTGTCCAACCTCTGCAGTGACCTCCAGGCATCCGCAGAAAGTGGGCTGCTAACACGGGACGCCCCCTTAAAGGGAACTCCTCTAGTCTCTAGGACTGTGGCAGAAGGACCTGGGGATGAGACATCCTCCTGCTGGGCAGACTCTTGTGAAAGCCAGATTGCCTCTACTGTCAGGGAAGTGAGCCAAGAGAGGGAAGTGGAGGGTGTGCATAAAAGTTACTTACTTAAGTCAACACTTGAGAGTGCTAAATACGCACCAGGTACTTCTCTAAGCACCTTACAAACATTAAGTCATGCAATCCTCCTAAGGACTCTATAAGGCAGTGTTAGCATTTTACAGATGAGGAAACAGAGAGGTTAAGTAATTTGCCCGAAGTCACATGGAAAACGGTGGAACCAGGCCGTCTGGCTCCAGAATCCGTCTTCTTAACTATTACTCTACAGTGATCATCATTTACTGAACAACTGCTGTCCAGGATCTGATGTAGGCTAAAGACCAAGGTCCCTACATCATCTTCCTTTTTCTTTTTCTAAATGAGATTTGGTGAAATCTTTATGTTTCTTCCACTAATATATTTCAGCTCTTCTATTTTCTCCACTAGTGTATGTTGTGGTGATTACATTTAGCTTCAGTCTCATTTACTCTACGGATATTCAATATCTGTACATACGTTTCTTGGCAAACATTCAGCATATAGGAGCAATCTCTGAAAAATACTGTCACTGGATTTATTCTTATGAGAGAATATTTAATTGATTGAAGAATACTTCTATCATCTCAGTTGATCATATCCCCAAAACTTCCTTGAGATACCACCTTTTTTTCCTTTTATTTATTTTTTTTTTTGGTGAGGAAGATTGGCTCTGAGCTAACGTCTGTGCCAGTCTTCCTCTATTTTTTTTGTATGTGGGATGCCACCACAGCATGGCTTGATGAGCAGTGTGTGGGTCTGCGTCCGGGATCTGAACCTGCGAACCTTGGGCTGACAAAGAGGAGTGCATGAACTCATCCATTATGCCTGGCCCCCCATCTTTCTTAAGTAACACAACTTCATATTGATCTATTGAGAAAGAAAACAGGGAACTTCCATATCTGCAAAGGATGTTGAAGGTCATGGCAGGTTACTGCTCCCACTGTAAAAATGAGAAAAAGGGATAAATTACAAAAATCATATATTTAAAACATCAGACAGCTCTGGCAAAATTCTGGATGGAGAGAATCTTTCTGAGTGAACAGATAATTGCCAGTTGCTTTTTTTTTTCTCCAGGGGACTGGTGCCAATTCTGAGTTCTACTGTAGGTGTAGAGGGCCCTTTCTAGAAGAAAGAAAAACCATACAATATTTTGCAGTTGCATGAGACTAGAGACACAAACTGGAAACTTGAGGACCCTCAAAGGCACGGTCATTTTCCCCAAGAGACATTTGTTAAGTTCCTCAGCTATCTGAATGATAGTGCCTTAGGCCAAAAGCCTATAAAACCCAAGTGGAATCTCCTACAATGACACAGGTGCTTCAGAACAAAAGTCTGACAGGGGAGATGATAGTCGCAAGCACCTAACTAGTCTCGTCTTCCAGACGTGCAGATTCTGAAAAGCTACCACACAGCGGGACAGCGGGGCCAGGAGCCCTGAAATGCAGAGCTGGAGCCACTGTAACCTTCAGTCAGAGGAGCAAGGACCTGACAGGCTCTCAGTCACAGTGCAGCAGGGCGCAGCCTGAGGATCAGAGAACTGGGGGTGGACTGGTTCTCCAACGCAGCTCAATTTGTGATGGGACTGAGGTGGTCATCCCTGGCCTTCGCCTCCTAACAGAGGACGGTAGAATCCTCTTGGGGAGAAACCATCACCTATAGCGTCTGTAGTTTGTTTACACACAATGCTGACCATGTAATCAGAAATTACTAACCATGTGAAGATACAAGGAAATTTACCAAAAGATAAAACAGATTCACAGAGGATTCAGATTTAGAGTTAGCAGGTAAAGACTTTAAAATACCTATGATTAAATGTTTAAGAGAATAGAGAAAAAGATGGGCAAATAGAAGAAATAGTGGAATAGACATAATCATGAGAGCAGTATGAGAAGTGGAAACAAGATACAGGACGTGGCAAAGCAATCTTGTAAGAGGTAAGCTTCCAAAACTCGTGAATGCCATCAATACGCACATTTCACAAGCTCAGCAAACCACACAGAAGACAAACACACACACCACCACCACCTACAGGAAGACACAAGGTAGATCACATTAAAAATGCCCAAGGCCGAAGACAAAGAAAAAAGTTTTAAAAATCCAGAGCAAAAAGACACATTACCATCAAGGGACAACAAGGAGAATGACATTTGACTTCTAAACTGAAACACTGGAGGCCAGAAAACAACGAATCACAGGTTAAAGTACTAAAAGAAAGGAATTCAACCTAGAACTCTATACTCAATAAAAAAACCCTCAAAAATGAAAGTGAAATAAAAAATTCTTGGACAAACAAAAATGACGAAATTTGCCATCAGATGTCTTGAGTCTCTTGTTTCAGAGTGAATGAAAATGATCCTGGATGGAAAACTGGAAATTTAAGAGAGAATTAAGGACACCAGAATTAACTCCATGGCAATATAAATTACATGCTTAAATGTCTTATAGACTTTAAATCATGTGTGGAACAAGAATGCATGCCAACAGCAACTGTGAAAGCTAGGAGGGGTTTATGGAGTTTAGAGGTTCTAAGGTCCTAGCAGTATTAGAAAATGGTAAAAGTAATAAAATCTGTAAAGATATAATAAGGCAGGGATGCACGTTTTATTCTTTAGTGAAACGATGAATAGAATAGTGAGAGAATGTATAATTAACAAGTTAATATGAGGGAAACGTGACCTAATAAATATTCAATTAATCTACAAGAAAGCAAGAAGGGTACAAAACAGAATATAAAAATAGAGGGCAATTCCTAGCAAAACAGAGTAAAGCATAAAATAAAAAAATAAAACAGACTCCAGATCTCCTCCCGGAAGTTGGTGTGGCTCTTCTACAGATGGACGGCACGTGCTGGATTGATTTTCGTGCTGGGGTGTTCAACAGACAGTACAGCTCTGTCCTCATTCCAAGCACAAATACATCCATTCTCTACTTCTTCCCAATCCTAAACTCTCTGCAGCAGCTTTTCATAACCACCAAAAGCATACACCAGGTGTGACCCTCTGCTAAGACCTTCATGATAGGAACAGATTTACAGATTGAGTCGCTTCACAGAAGCAGTGCCAATCTGCTGAGCGACTTTCAGCGGCTGCTGATCTGAATTAGGCTTGTAGGGAGGGATTTTGACACAAAATGTCCCAAATCCCCTGAGTCATTGCTTTACTGTTTGAAAAAAATACTCTCT